ACAAATATCGCCATGAAACAGCAATTTCCCTCATCTAGTAAGTCTGCTAATGATATATGGATACGGAATAGCATAGCTTGAGTGCGCCACCTGGAAGGGCGCTGAACTCAACCTCTCCCGAAGAAACTCTCCTGACGCCGTCAAGATGGCTTGCGCAGATCGGTTCATTTGAATTCGGGAGGCAATTTCTCAAAGATCTTTTCTCTGCTTGCAATATCAAAGGCAAATTTTGGCTAAGAAACTTGTTGCATGAATGATCTTGGACAGTATAATGTAGCAGATGATTTTTTTTTCTCTTACTTAAAATGCAATTTAAAAAGGATTTTCCCCGTAGATTTCAGCCAAGGGAATCTTCCCTTGTTTTTCCGTGTATCTTCAAATAGAGCTGATGCAATCCTGCTGCAATTTCGTTATTGAATTGAATGTATGTGCGTTTGTGTGTGTGTATTTGTGTGTGTGTGTGTGTGTGTGTGCGCGCGCGCGCGCGCGTGTGTATGGTGTGTTTTCATTTTCGATTCTATATGCGGTACCTATTTTATTTATAATTGTGAATAGAGTTCAGCAATAGACACTGCCCAAATGAAATCTATCTGATTAGATATGATAAGACCATATTTATAGTATCGTGTTCCATATTGTCAAAGTTCAGTTTCAGGTATATTATTTTTCTTGAAAGCTTTCAAAATCAGTTAATGAACAGCCTGTCACTTACGCCTAATGAAGTCAGAGAAGGTAATTGGAAATGGTGTAATTAAAATTTCGCACCAGATTTTTTTTCTTTTTTTGCGATTCCTATATACATCATGTTTCGAAAATATTGAATTGAGACCATCTTTCTCTTTGTAATATAACCCGAGAATTCCATAAAACATCTTCAAAATAAAAACGGAATAACAATAAAAATATTTGTTATGCCCTACAATCAAGGACTACGGTTATACATTAATGATGTTATCACCACCACTGTCGTCATTAATTTCATTATCACTGCTACCATAATTGCAGCCATTATCATCATGATCAATACCCTCACCTGCTTTGCAATTACAACGAATAGAACCTGAGGCCGCCTCCATTTTGTACACCGGCAGCTGACATTCAAAGGGTAAGACAGCATAATCCAACAGATTAATCAGGTACTTTTCCACAAGGTCCATTTCATCTATTTGCCAACTTTCGCTTTATTTCTAAAAAGTTATACTACTTCCCTATGACCTGCTACCCGGCGACTCGAACCTCAAACGACCCACCCGACACAAAACCACCAGCATCAACAGGGCCACTTCAGAACTGCACCTTCGTCATTATGAGCCGCAAATCCTTCGGCCACAAGCAACAGCAGCGGCCAGTGGCTGTTCCTACGCCGCCTGCATGTCAGCAGCCGTCCTCTGGCATGGCCTGCGAAGCCCCGACCACACCACGCAACGCCTCGTCATTACACCGGATACTCCCTGTCGTCCTCCAATCTCTCTCTCTCTCTTCTGACTACCGCCTCGTCCGTACCATTCTTCTACTAGTTTATCTCTGTCTGTTTTTCTTGATTTTCTTCTTTTACTTCTTCATTTCCTTTCTCCCAACGGAACGCCAAGTAATCACTGTTGCGAAGGCATTTCCGCTGTTAACTTTTTTTCGGTCACCGTTTCTATCTCTTCACTTTTATCATGACAATGTGTTGTGACGGGAATACACCTTAATATTTGACCCAAGTGCGAGTACTTTTCCTTCGTACATACGTACTTAGATTTTATTATATTTGTGACACATTTCCGCATTTCTATGCCAAGGTCGGATAACGAAGTACCAAAGTTGCTCAACTTGTACCCATGAGACAGAAACATAGCCACCGGCGTCACCTAACGCCACTTACCCACACCTGCTTTACACGACACGCCCATAAATGTACCCACATGGCACCAGTTTGCAAATGTTGGCCACCTGCGTACACCTGTCTTCTTCTGATCCTATTGTGAAATAACGAAAAAGTTTAATAGAGACAAATAAACAAAAAGAGAGATCACGGCAAACAAAACAAGAACGACTGCGAAATTCAGTAAGTAGAAAAAAGACAAAACCAAGCACATATCAAAACAAAAGACAAAACAAAGGTATAATCTTAATCACAATAATCTAACAGCCATAACAAATAGGGAAAAAAGTTGCTGCAAAGTATATTTGGAAACACGAAGCTCAAGGTGTGGCCATTCAGCAGGATCTTCAACGCTGTTCCAACTCCAAGGTAAACTGCGTTCTTTGCTGGCTGGATGCTACTAACAGGGCTTGACTGCGTGTAGGATGCATGCGTGATCGTGATTGTGTGTGTGTGATTGTGATTAGATGCGTGTGATTGTTGGTCGCTTGCGTACGTGTGATTGTGATTGTTTGTGTGCGTGAGACTGGACTGTGTGTACATTTTTTATGTTTCTGTAGTTCGTATGTCGCTGTGTTTTGTATATGTGACTCGGCACTTTCTGTCTGTCCCCCTCCTCTCTCTCTCTCTCTATCTATGCTTGAATTATACATTTTGAAATCAGGTTTTCCTATCATCTTTTTCGCCCTCTCTCTCTCTCTCTCTTTCTTTCTCTTTCTCTCTCTGTCTGTCTGTCTGTCCATCTCTCCCTCTCTTTTACGCGTATAGATTTATATCTTGCATGCCGGACATTATATCGGACTTAAGGGTATACGAGTTATTATTTACATGACACCGTCTTGCTCGTCTCTGCGTGCCCGTCGAAAGGTCTACAGCCTAACGAGCATGCAAAGCGTAATATGTCCTGAACCGAACTTTGCGACTGAGGCTAGGTGCACTTATTGACATTTCTTGCACGCTATAATAAGAGCAGCGTTCCTCCTGCAATATTCTTATATTGTTACTGATTAAAATTAATTCATCGCTGTATGCACTATCATTAGTGCCTGAAGCGTTTAGTGTTAGATTAGCTTTTTTTCAGGAAAGTCTTATGATTGTATTTCGCTAAATAAAGCAATGCATTTTCATTATTTTATGTTTTTACTTGATTTTATTTTCCAAATATCACTATCCCAATGTTCATTTTTATTATGAAAATCACATTAAATCAGTGACCTCGAAGTACCTATTGACCCCTAGCGCTTCGATCGTCTTTCCCTAAACAGCGTCAACTCGAAGAACCAAAGGCATCCACAGAGCGCCTCTCCAACCGTCTTCTTCACTGCGAGCGGCCATGAATTGCGAAAACGCGGCACAACGTCTTGCCTCGTAATAAAGCAGCGGAGGCCCAGCCGCTCCGTACCCACGTCCTGTGACCTCCCCACCGCACTGACCGCCCCATGCGCTGTGGTGGTGGCGGCTGGATGTGGCCGGTGGAAGCAGCATTGCTCCTGCCCTAAAAGGGTTCCCGGCGGCCAGCTTTTTAGTCTGCATTACTTTTTTTTTTTTTTTTTTTTTTTTTTTTTTTTTTTTTAGCGTTGTCTTTGTTATGGATGATGTTTATTTATTTATTGTTTATTGCGATCGATATCGTTACCGTAAATGCAACTGCCAATGTCGGTAAATTGCATGACCACAATAGTCCCTGATGCGCTTTGTAAGTTCCAGTACGATCCCTGGTAATTCATTATTCAAACGATCTGAGGGTCCTTGAGATACTTACTCCTCTGACTTCATTAAACCTTGACTGTTTTTAGTTTTCCAGAAATATATTTTTCAAATCAATTCAAACGAACGTGCCAAAAGAACTGACATTGGGACGCTGTCGTCCTCACGTACTCCCAGTGCAGGGCATCTAAAGTCAGAAAAACAAAAACAAAAAAAGTCTTCATCAGTCTTTTTTGTCTTGAATACATTTTTTTTTTTACAACCTGTTTAGAAACAAAGAATCATAGGGCTGTATAATTCTGCTCCCTTGATGCTTGTTTCGTCAGTGAAGATGCCTTGGTATACATTTTTTTGTGTTGAGGTTCATGTCAGTATTCACCAAGTGTAGATGCTGAGTAGGTCTTGTGAAACTAGATATTAATACTGCATTTGACACCGTTCTTCAACGGTGCCTGGGCCATAAATTTTAAATAGTAACTTCATTATTAGATCAGCAATGTGAATGTTACGTATATGAATAATTATTTTTCTAATCACTATTTTGAAAATTATTTTTGTGCAAATAAGTATGATCTTGTTACTGTCAAAATTCATATTAATATTAATGCTACTATTTTCAAGTTAAGTTGTTTATAATTAGAACTGAAGACATCGATAATGCTCAATCCAATTAGTTCTTACTTATTTTGTTCGTATCCATCCTGCCATACTCTGTTAAAATGGCTGTATTCATCCTTTGAACATTTTTCTTGTTTATCACATCGTTTTTTTTTTCTTTTTTGTATGTGTATGAGTGTGTGTGTGTGGTGTGTGTGTGTGTGTGTGTGTGTGTGTGTGTGTGTGTGTGTGTGTGTGTGTGTGTGTGTGTGTGTGTGTGTGCGTGTGCGTGTGCGTGTGCGTGTGCGTGTGTGTGTGCGTGTGCGTGTGCGTGTGCGTGCGTGCGTGCGTGCGTGTGTATGTGTGTGTTTGAGGGTGAGTGTGGATATGGGTGTGTGGGTGTGGATGTGGGTGTCTGAGCCGTGATGCTTGTATATGAGCAGCTTTGTAAATGTACAGAGTGTAAGCTTGCAAAGAACGTATTCGATCTCCAGCATCCGGCTAACGTAGG